GAACAATATAATTAGCTAAGGATCACAGCTCGTCTTGCAATTCTTTGCCTAGTGGTGTCTGCACGACTGGGATGGTTTCTGATCGAACAGCCATTATCCTCCAACATGACTGCCTTTCCCTATATATCATTCATTCGGAAGCTATTCCAGCAGATTGGTCTGGCTTGGCAGGAAACATTTCTGCTTCTTGCATGTAATTATTTGAAGAGTGCATATAATAATTATATAGTTACAATTTGATGACAGCTCAGGTGGATGGCCAGCTACTGGCACAGCTACTTAAAGCCGACAAAGGTGTTTGGCAACTGGTTGGGGCCTCTAGCTATAAGTGTCTAAATGTATGCATGCAACAAATTTGGGCGTAAGATCATGACTAGCCTAGGCCGGTTCAAGGAGCATTGCGAAAAAAGCTGAGATCCAAAGATCGGAAAAGGGCAAAAGAAATGGCAAAAAAACGTCGCATGGTGAATCGGACAATTTCGAAGAGTGGAAAGATGCAAGTGTCATGGGCATAGCTTTGCATGTGTATATTTTTCAGTTTGCAGGTCCACCATAGCTGGCTGTTTGTATGCATGCATGCATGTGTATATGTGTGTGTCTAGCGGGACTGAGGAGTGGGGGTCCTGCATTGACTTTGAGTGCTGCTTATCCTCGGGGCTATGGCCGCAGAATCGCTCAATTGCACCAAAGGATTTCAAATGCTGACGCTTGTCTTAAATATTTGCACACGTATAGCAAGTGTGTATGCAGATGTGGATTTGCAATTAAACTAAGGACCAACAGGATTTGTATTCAAAGCTCTATGGCAAAGACAACAAAGTTGAGTGCAACATGATGAAGGCAGCTTGATTATACTGCTATTGGAATCACTGCAAGTGGCTGTGTGCTGTTTAAGTTACTAATGTATGATCAGGCACCCTACAAGTGGCGTCATGCTCGATTGGACCTACTGCGACACTTCCTTCAGGTTCAGGTGGAGCTTGGCTTCTACAAGCCAGTGCTGTTGGAGGGTTTAGACTAGAGGGCAATTGTGAGGACCTTCCAATGGCAAAGGTCTTTATGCTTTTACAATTCGGGCCTCATACTGTGGGAATAGTTCTACCCATTGAGTGAGGCTGCAATTCGGAGCAGGATGACCAACATGTAGCGTGAAATGTGCGTGAAATCTGCGTGAAATTTCGTGAACCAGCATTATATCGCGTGAACCGGCATTATTTTGCGTGAACCTGAAGTGCTTAAAAAACATACATTTTTCATCAGATTTGGACTTTCGGATGCATGTGCAGCAAATCGGATCGTATGTTTGCAAAAAAAGCCATTTTGGCCTAGTCGGAGGGTCCAAAGCACCTATCGAAAGATGGGATCAACAAGTGATATGGTTCAAAGGGCTTTGGATGCAGCAAAGCTCCGAAGCGAGCGAGCTGATCGCAGCCAAAGCAATATTGATATGGCCGAAACTCAAGATCCTGCTAGCCAAACACCCAAGGCGCAATTAAGGCCAGATCATCATTTGTTTTTTGATAATCTAGATCGAGGGTTTGGGGTGGTATTCACAGCTTATTGCAGGAGAAAAACATCCAAGTCGAAAGATGACTTGTCCAGAGGAGCTGTGCATGTGAGTGTGTGTGTTTTATTTGTGTGATCGCTAGCAGCCAACATGATCATGAGAATACTGTGCAGTGGAGGATTTAGCACCCAAACAACCATCCCTGCGACAGCGGAAGAGCTGGAGGCTAGCATGGAGGATGCCAAGAAGTACATGGAGCAAGTTGTGACCCCCAAAACACCCAAGAACAGGATCCGAAGAATGAACACTGGGAAGACCCTTGAGGTGGAGACAGTCTCTGGATCAAGATTTTCGAAAAAGGTGAGGGAGGAAAATGCGGATGAAAGTGAAGCCCAACCGCAGCCAAAGAAACCATGTACAGCAGCAAAGAGCAAGGCAAAGCCAAAACAGGCTCCGAAAGCCAAAGCCCCAGTACCCAAGAAAAGGCCACAACTCAAAAAGAACGGATCAAAAGCTGTTTGCAAAAAGCATTTAAAGAAGAAGGGCAAGGCACAGATCTCAGGACGCAGCAAAGAGACACCTGGTGAGGCTAAGACAACGAACTGCAAAACAGCCAAGGGTGACCCGGGCAAGGCTGTGGCTGTGAAGACAAAGGTCAGTGGATCTGCAAAAGCAAAGGTTGAACCAAAGAGCCCAAGAACAGTAAAGGCGGCAAAGGAAGTTTTATCATGTCTAAAACGAGCAGATACCAAGGACATCAAGGGAGGCACAAAGAAAACAAAGACTCCTGCAAAGGGGTCAAAAGAGATCAAGGAGAAGAGACCGGAAAAGGAGCCTGAGGAGGATGATGATGAGGAAAAGCAAATGGCAGAGAGCAGTGCAGATGAGGATGAACGTCTAGAGAGACAGCTTCGATTGAAAAGGGATCAACACGCAAGATATATGCGCTTCAGCCGTTCCCTGAAGCGTCTCTAGGCATATTCAGTGCATGATCAATGCAGTGCATCAATGTGCATATATATACCCCACACCATTCCAACAACTTGCAATTTGAGGAAAATCGAGCCCGTTGGAGCTTCGCAAAGCAGGACGGATCGCAAAGCACAGTTGGAAACTTAGACAACTATCAAACCGATCTCATCAAAGCATGGTCATGATCAATCTTTGAAACATGGTCGAGATACTAAGACAAAGAGCAGCTGGCCATTCTGCATGAAGCATACTTGGAGTGCAATGGTGAGTGGAACAAATCAGAATTTGTTCTACAGCCGCAAAAGAAGGCATGTCAGCGTAGCAAATGCACACGACGTTGGATGACAAGGAAGCAGCTGGAGGAAAAGTATGACCCTGAAATGGCAGCAGAGATCATTCGACGCAAGAAAGACGATGAAGAGTTACGTCGAAGTCAAGTATCCAAGAACCCTGACAATCCAGCCCCTTAGCAATTATATATTATTTTAGAACGTTCAGATCAGTGCATGCTGTGATTGAGCCCTGTAATTCTCGAAACGATCCACTGTTCGATCTTGGATGTTCCTGGTCTCCAATGTCAGGACCAAGAGGTCTATTTGTGTTGGGACAGCACCGTGGAGGAGGAGGAAGAAGATTTGACAGTGACCCAGTTCTGGAAAGCAGTCGATGATGATCGTGATCTGCATGAAACAAAGAAGTCGAACAAAAAGAAAAGTGGGCGCCACAAGAGGAAGTCCAAGAAGCATAGCAAAAAGAAGAAAGGCAAGAAGAACAAGAAGAAGCATTCATCTTCGTCATCGACAAGCTCTGAGTCCAGTACATCGTCTTCATCGAGCAAATCATCATCTTCAAAGTCCTCGACTGATGACTCTGAGGTGCAATAGTAGATCTAGAGAGATTCGATGAACAAATAAAGATCCTAACCATAGTTCGATCCTGATCAGGAATCTAAGAGAAAGAAAAAAACAAAGAAAAGCAAAGGTAAGGAGAAGAAGCCTCGGAAGGAAACACCAAAGCAAATTCAGGAAAGACTTCGAAAAGAAAAGGAGAAGGAGTTGAAGGAAAAAGAAAAACAGAAGAAAGAGGAAGAGCGCAAAGAACTGGCTAAGGGCAAACAGGCTCGGTTGACAAAACTATGTACTACGTACTGTATCTGAATTAACATGTACATGACCTGCTTTTCCCTTTGCCAGGCCTTGGGAAAAATCAACGCACAAATCAACAAAGCAGTGCAGTTGAAAGAAAAGCTGAACTCATTGTAGCTTTGCTTGAAACTAAAGACTAAATATATATGTATCTGTGCGTGTTCATGTGCATGTATGCATGTAAAAAGCATTTTCTTCCGATCCAATTCGTTCCTGGTGCTTAGGTCTGAGTCTGTTCGCAATGCTGTGGGAAAGGACTTGGAATCCCATCTCAAGAGTCTCAAACAAGATCAAAACAAAGCGCAGGAAATTGTCGACAAAAACCAGGTGGAATGGTGGAACTTTCTTGAACATGATCATTTTGCAAGACCAACTTCTCAAAAGACTGTGTGGCCATGTCCAGGTGGACAAAGTCAATGAGGTTACCAGCATTGCCAACAAGGCGGTAGATAATTTTTCAGACTTTTGCAAAAAAAGCAACCTTAAATAGAGGTTGTGCATTTTGGGGGCATGCTTGGCCATAGCTAGTGCCGGCTGTGAGTGCGGTGTCCAGTGAAAGGGAGGGCTGGCCATGGCATGCTAAACTCGTGTTCAGTGAAAACAAATGACTAGTCTTGCCTTTCCTTGAAGCACTGGATGGGGAATCACACCCGAAGCCTGCCTGGAGGGCGAAGCCCATACCATGAAATGTGTGGTGTGTTCCTAGACACACCCTTTGACGTACATCGATGGCGACGGAAAATAAACTACTTGCACTGCACCTGATCAATGATCGATCAATGTCATCAAGACCTTTTAATGCTTGCAATGTCTATTTAAATATATGCATGTGCATAGTGACACTCACCGGAAGGACCTAGATTGGCTGGATATGGATCTGATGTCATCAACAATATGGTTGATGATGTATCTTCAGGAGTCTCTAGACATGACTATATAGGGGCCTTTTGTGGGGTCTATGAGCCCTGATTCCCACTCTTGCCCAGGTTGTCTCGGTCTCCCGCGGTATGAAAGGCATCCAATCCCATGTGAAGGTGCCTTGGCGCAAGAACGCGGAAATGTGTCAATCTCTGGGCCCTTGTATGCTGGCATGTGTTCAGCCAGGAGAGTGGACAATCTGGTAGTCATCCCGACAGCTACAAACTGGGATCAAAATCGGCTGCCAATTCGGTTCGCAACTTTTGGAAGCATCTAGATCTTCCGATTGTCTCCAAGCTGAAAGGTCGTTCATAATTACTTTTTGCAGTTCTGTTGTGAGACACCCCAATTAAATTAAACAATTTAAACAGTTTGTGGATCCTTTTGCTGGGCATGCTGAGGCTATCAACGACATTTCAATACCAGTCAAAAACGAAAAGCTCCCTGCTGGGTATGAAATGAAGAAGATGCCACTCATCTATCCTCACGATTTGGTGGCCTATCTCTTCAACACTTTGGGTGTTTCAATATCTCAAGAAGCGGTGACTAGATATTGGCTGCATCAATTGAACACTGAGCAACCCTTTGCTGTTCATGGCCCTGGGGACACAAACTGTGTGCCCCTGGGCCTGTATGGGGATGGAGCCAGGTTGGCAACGTTGTACAAACACGAAAAACTGATCGCCATCTGGCTGAACCTCCCACTATATCGACCGCGCTCCACCAGGAGCTCACGCTGGCTGTTGTTCAGTATCATGGCTGACCAACTTCACAGCCACTGGACAATGGACGCGGTGTTGCGGCATATGCTCTGGAGCTTTTGGGCTTTGTTCAAGGGAGAAATTCCACAACGTGGACCCTTTGGTCGTGAGCTCCCTCCAAACTTGGCTGGAAGAGAGGGGGAACAAATCGTACATCGTCGGAAATTGCAGTTCATTATAACTGAGTATCGTGGAGATTGGGAGTGGCATCGGGATCTGTGGCATTTTGTTCAATGCAGTTGGAAATCAGAAAGGGTCTGTTGGATGTGTGACGCTAGAAGGTGTGCAGATTGGCAAAGCGCATATTGGAATCTTGAAGAAAACTCCACATGGGCAAACAATCCTTTCACGAAAGCTCAGTTCCTGGCTGAGAGACAACCTGAAAGAGGACTCTGACACTTAGCTATATTTGATGATATGTGAATTGAGAACCAAGTTCAAATTTAGTGGGAAATAAACAATTGCAATAATGGTGATTTGTTGGTGCTTCAAGCCATGAGGTCCTTTAGTGTTGGCGCCTGGGTTCCATCCTTCGGCAATTCGATGGTGCAGCATGCACGTATTAAACTTGGGTCTCTTTTACCGCAGCAATGGTGCGTCTTTGCAACTAGGCCATGTTGGAGTATACAGTGGTGTGTGAACCAACCCTCCTATCCACCCTCCCCTGGAAACTTTTTCTGGGCTCTCGAACTGAGGATTCTTCTCGCAAATGATCTCGCCTTCTTTGGCGATGAGGGATCCTTTCAAGATCGCTTGGATCGAGCCTATGAACATTTCCAGAACTTTGCGAAGGAGCGAAAGATCCCAAACTCTCAGCCCCGATTTCGGGAACGACATGTTGCTGGTTTGATCAAGTTTTCTGAATCAGTCGTTTGCTGCCCACTTTTCGTTTAGCGTTCCAAACCATGCTGAACTTGGTGCTAGCGACCCTCCTGGTCCCAAGGTGATCAAGGGGGACAATGAGGTGTGCTGGACACACAAAGCTTTCAATGGCAGAGTTCTATTGGTATGGCTCACCTGGTGTCTCGAGAACGCCTGGATAAGATTCCCAGATAAAAGGGACAAACGCTTTGCCCTCACCTACCACGCCCAGACCCTTTGCTTGCAGCAATTGGTGACCACTCTCAAAAATTGTGTCAGTCGAGTCATGTGCACCCGCCCTTCACCCTTTGTCTGCAGTCCTGAGGAAAAGCATGGCTAGATTCATGGGATTGATGGAGCAATCAAAGCGATTCATGTGCCTAACTTTGAACTAGCTGGTTTGTGCATGCATGCGTGCATCAAAAACTGACATCTCATGTGGTGTCTGGGTCACCTTTCTTGTGCAATGATCTGTTATTAAGGACCCCTGCCAAAGCACAAGAGATGTTTCGTGAAGGGCGGCAATATGCTGATGCCTTTATCTGCCTCAATGTCTTGGCTGTGAGGCAAGAAAAGAAGGACAACAAAAAAACATCTAGATCTGTTGTTGCATGTGCCATGAATGTGCCATGGCCACACTGATCAGGGATTCACGATTGGAGTGGCAAATCACTCCAAAACTCCATGTTTCTTGGATTTGCTGGCTTGATTTTCTACAACACTTGTCACACTGAGCCTGTTTTGACAGTCTGATGTGCCACGAGCAAGGCTTTTGGACACCTGTTGCATCTTTGCAAAAAGCACCTGGAAAATCCACGTTACTTCCACACATATGCCGATGAAGATTCAATGAAATGGTGCAAGAGTTTCTTGGTGAATAACTTTACTTTGGGAAAGGTAGCTTTTGGTTGAGTGCCTCAATGATTGCTGTTTGGATCCTAGGCATAGCAACATATAGCAAACCGCGGACACGCAACCTGTGGCTACTACGCTGTGCAAAGCTGAGAATCAGGTCTATGAGGACTTGGATTTCCAAGCCACTTGGATCTACTTATCTAGGTGCTTTGCGTTGCATGAGCGTCATGGTTGATTAGCTTAATTCCTTTTTCCCTTTTTGAGGTTGAATGCCAGGGCCAAAGCAAATGAGAGCCGCGATCGTGATCAATAAGAAAAGAGCGTGAAAGTGCGTGATCAGGGACTCATGTTAGAACCATGCAGAGAATGCATGTTGTTGAAACGTGCATTTAAAGAATGCTGGTTTGATCCACTGGGTTATGAAAGAATTTAGGTAGGACTTAAGTTTATGAATCTTTGCGAAAGTTAAACTGCAGTTGAGGAAAGCATCCGACAAAATCAATACCAGGCCTGTATCCAACGGAAGTTTTGCATTTGAGTCATGCTTCTTGTTTGAGAGATGCGATAGGTAATGGAAAAAGAAACTGATACTGGTGCACAGAGGTGCATATGCCTGAAACTGATTTGAGCAACGTCATAAACCTTTATGAGAGAATTTAGGTAGGACGTAAGTTTATGAATCTTTGCGAAAGGAAAACTGCAGTTGGGGAAAGCTTGGCGAAAGGTTTGGAAAAAGGCTCTGATTTTTTGGATGAATGGATTTTGCAGTACAAAGCATGTCATCCAAAGATTCCTGATAACCAGGCGAAAGGTTGACGAAAGGCTCGCGAAGATGTGGCGATAGCAGTGGTTGCAGATTAGGAAGGATTCCCCTTTGCTGATACTTTTCTTAGATGTAAGTAGCAGAAACTCGGCGAAAGGGTTAGCAAAAGAGGTTGTTGGGTGAAGTGGGTCGACGGAAGCAAAACATGCAGCTGCGAAAGCGTTGCGAAGGGATTGGCGAAAGGTTTATATAATCTTAATGAAAGAACCGGATGGTTTTTGACACCGCTCATATTTTAATTCGATCCAATGCCTTGTGCTTGCATATGTCGTGTATTGCCCCAGCAGATTGCGCACCTGTCCCAGTAAAAGTCTTTTCCTCATCGAGAGGCATCCCACGCACGCAGTACAATTGTCGCCTGCTCAAAGTGCATCCGACAAAATGCATACCAGGCATGTCTTGCAGTTGCCCTGGGCAGATTCTCGAATCTTCTGCTTCCAGCTATGGATTCTGCTGAATTTTTTCTGTTTTTCCCATTCATCTGCCGCACTTCTGATCCACGAAATGTTGTGGAAAATGTCAAGCAATGCAGGTGCATGAGGAATCTCCCAAATGACTGGGGATCGAAGGCGACGAAGGGCGGACCAAACCCGCTTGGCAGTTCTGTGGAAAATACGACAATCGGCTACAGATGTGGTTCGCCGATGTGCTCTGGTGAACAACTCTTGCAATCGTTGGAGAGTATTAAACAACAAGGACCCTTTTTCAGTTTTCGCACCGCCAGAAGGTAATTGCCCGGGGCAAATCTTTCTGGATTGAAACTTAGGGAGAGCACCTCGTTTACATTCACCAAAACCCCATTTGGCCCCACAAGCAACCAAGGATTCGACACAGTATTTATTAATTAAGTCCCATTTCTCATGGATGGAATCAGTCAACTTATAATCTTCAAAGTAGTACTCATCCCAAAATTGGGTGGCCCACTCATTCTGTGGGGAGTCTTTACACTCGGGCTTGGGGAGGCAAGAAGTGTCAAGAGGAGCGAACTTGACATGGATGTCTCCGGTTTGGAAAATGGCATCCCACTTGAAGACCGCACGAATTGTTCGGTGCTGTGTGCTGAAAGATTCCAAGACTTGGATGTCGTTTAATGCGGCAAAAGCAACATGATTGACTAGGATGGCATCGATTGAAGTGCAAAAATCGCCTTGCCCTGTAAAAGTGCAATCACGGGAAAAAGTTAGGGGACGAAAGGCATGTCCTTCCTCGTCGACTTGAAGAAGGGGGTCAAACCTTATGACATGGAAACTATTGATAAGACAGACTCGAACATAATTATGTTAATTTTTAATTATCTCGACAAAAAGTCCGTTCAAAAGTCCGAGCAAAGCTCAACAGTCCACAGGAAAGTCCAATGAAAATTCAAAAGTCCAAATGAAAGTCCAATGAAAGCTCAACAACCCAAAGGAAAGTCCAATGAAAACTCAAAAGTCCAAACGAAAGTCCAATGAAAGCTCAACAGCCCACAGGAAAGTCCAATGAAAGCTCAAAAGTCCAAATGAAAGTCCAATGAAAGCTCAACAGTTCAAAGGAAAGTCCATTGAGCTTTCATTGGACTTTCATTTGGACTCTTGAACTTTCATTGGACTTTCCTTTGGACTGTTGAGCTTTGCTTGGACTTTCATTTGGACTTTTGAGCTTTCATTGGACTTTCCTGTGGGCTGTTGAGCTTTCATTGGACTTTCATTTGGACTTTTGAATTTTCATTGGACTTTCCTTTGGACTGTTGAGCTTTCATTGGACTTTCATTTGGACTTTTGAGCTTTCATTG